GGAGCTCCGCCGAAGGTCCCAGTGGGTGTGCCCGCATGCGTCCCGCACACCCATTTCGGCATGCTCTTCACACGTTTCGTGGCCCCATAGGGAGCTCCACCGAAGGCCCCAGTGGGTGTGCCCGCATGCGTCCCGCACACCCATGTCGGCACACCCGTCACGCGTTTCGTGACCCCTCACACGTATCGTGGTCCCATAGGGAGCTCCACCGAAGTCCCCAGTGGGTGTGCCCGCATGCGTCCCGCACACCCATTTCGGCACACCCCTCGCACGTTTCGTGGTTCCATAGGGAGCTCCACGGAAGGCCCCAGTGGGTGTGCCCGCACGCGTCCCGCACACCCAATTCGGCACACCCCTCACGCGCTTCGTGGCCCCATAGGGAGCTCCACCGAAGGTCCCAGTGGGTGTGCCCGCACGCGTCCCGCGCACCCATTTCGGCACACCCCTTACACGTTTCGTGGCCCCGTAGGGGGCTCCACCGAAGAAGATATTCACAATTGCGGTATTCACAATTGCATATGGTTGGGTCCTTCGCCAGGATAATGTTTTCCGTTTTGTTGGTGGCCCGCGGCCGTGCCACCGTTCTGTTATGCGTTGCGTTTTCGGTTGTTCGGGGGCCGCTGTTTTGTTCACCCGCTGTTTTGTTCCAGAACGGCACGCGCGACGCCGGTTGGCGTTTTCGCTCAAACTTCGTTTTTAAACGAAAACGAAACGTGAACAGAAAACACTGTTCAGGTTGAGCCCTGTGACAAAATTCGCATGGCGGCGCCGCCTCATTTTGGTGCATCACTCACACGGTTCGTCGCCCCATAGGGGGCTCCACGAAGGCCCCAGTTGCAAAGTTCACATGGCCGCCCCTTTTCGGCGCCCTTCACACGGTTCGTGACCCCACAGGGAGCTCCACCGAAGACCCCACTGGCAAAGTCCGCATGGCGGCCCTGCCCTATTTCGGCGCACCCCTCACATGTCCGTGGCCCCATATGGAGCTCCACCGAAGGCCCCAGCGGCAAAGTTCGCATGGCGGCGCTGGCACATGCTTACGCACCCCTCACACGCTTCGTGATCCCATAGGGAGCTCCACCGAAGGCCCCCATGGCAAGGCAAAGTTCGCATGGCGGCCCCGCCCCATGTAGCCACCCCCCTCACACGCTTCGTGACCCCATCGGGGGCTCCACCGACGACCCCAGTGGCAAAGTTCGCATGGCGGCTTCGCTCCACATCGGCGCGCCCCCAACGGATCCGTTGCCACACATGGAGCTCCACCGAACCAGTGCCCAGAATGCAGCATTCACGGTTGCATATGGCTGAGCCCTTCGCCAGGATGATTGTTCTTACATGCGGTCGCGACTTAGAGCGCGCGGGTCGATTGTTGTTTCCGAACCATCCTATGTCGAATTGGGTCTTCGTTCTGAAGAGAGAGCGCTCCGCGTCTCTCCTCCTCATCCTGCTCCTCCTCCTCCACCCACATGCGGGCGCTGCAACTGGGGCCTTTGGTGGAGCTCTCTATGGGGCCACGGAACTTGTGATAGGGTTCGCCGAAATGGAGGATGGAACCACATGCGGGCGCTGCAACTGGGGCCTTTGGTGGAGATCTCTACGGGGCCACGAAGCGTGTGAGTGGTTCGCCGGCATGGGGGTTGAAACCGCATGCGGGCGTTGCCACCGGGGCCGTCGGTGGAGCTCCCCATGGGGCCACGAAAAGTGTGATGGGTGCAACGAAATGAGGTTGGAACTGCATGCAAGCGCTGCCACTGGGGCCTTCGGTGGAGCTCCCCATGGGGCCACGAAAAGTGTAAGGGGTGCACCGACATGGGGGTGGAACCGCATGCGGGCATTGCCGCTGGGGCCTTAGGTGAAACTCTCAATGGGGACACGAAACGTGCAAGGGGTGTGCCGAAACAGTGACACGGGGAGGGTAAAGGCAGGGATGGGATCTGGGATGGGAGGTGAGAGGAGGGGGCAGCGGGATAAGGAGAAGGGAGGAGCACACGGAACGCTGTTTCTTCAAAACGAGGACCCAACGCCACAGGACGGTTGGCAGCACATGACTTTGATGTTGCAGCAAAGTGTATGCGCAGTTTGTTTCCCTACATCCTGAGTGGGGTTCTTGTTTTCCTAGAACACCTTGTCCTTCTTGTCCCTCCTCCTCCCTCCCCTCAAACTTCTCCTCATCCTCTTCCTCCTCCCCCTCCTGGTCCTCCTCCTCCTCCTCCTCCTCCTCCTCCTCCTCCTTCTCCTTGCAAGCTCCACTCTTTCCACCGTCCGGAAAGGGGCACTCTGGCGAGAACGGATGACACGGCGTTGAAAAGACCCGGAGCGGGGAGAGGGCGCGGGAGGGAGGGAAGGGGGGGCGAAAGCGGCAGCAACGCGCCCCAGCGGCGCGTGGGATCCGGCGGTTGGCAGCGGGCAGCTGCCGTGCACTCCCCCTCACCCCTCACGCAAGCTCCACATCCCCTCACGCAAGCTGCACATCCCCGTCTCTTGCAACGTTAACCATTCCACCAGTCCCTCGGACCTCCTCGCGCAAGCTTCACACACTCATGCAAGTTCCGCATCCCCCTCTCTTGCAAACTCCACCATACCACCATAGTACCCAGTTGCGCTGCCGCGCGATTCCCCCACCGCGCTTCGGCGCAGGGGTGGGGGGGGCGCTTTCGGGGTGGGGGGAGGGGAGAGGGTCCATGGACCCCTCCTGCCCCAGGCTGTGTATTTGGGATATCCGTAAGGGCTTCGCCCCCTGCCGCCGGCCCCCTCTCTCGGAGAATGGGCCATGGAAGAGCTCAGTCATGAGGCCTTGGCGCTGTCGTGAAGCAGTATCGAAACTTCATGCGAAGCCGAGTCGCAATCAGCAAAACCAACTGATCACAAGAGGGGTTACCACACCTGGCGATTGGTAAGACGTGTATGGTTTACGGGCTTGGTTACCACACCTTGCGATTAAAGGGCCGAGGGAGTTCTCGCAGTTTGGGTTACCACGCCTTGCGATGGATGTGCGTGAAGGGTGGCACCGAATTTCAGAAATGTGGCAAATCCCCTGTGTTTTTGGACCCTGACCCCGCGGATCTGCGTGAGGGGTGGCACCGAATTTCAGAAATGTGGCAAATCCCCTGTGTTTTTGGACCCTGACCCCGCGGATCTGCGTGAGGGGTGGCACCGAATTTCAGAAATGTGGCAAATCCCCTGTGTTTTTGGACCCTGACCCCGCGGATCTGCGTGAGGGGTGGCACCGAATTTCAGAAATGTTGCAAATCCCCTGTGTTTTTGGACCCTGACCCCGCGGATCTGCGTGAGAGGTGGCACCGAATTTCAGAAATGTGTCAAATCCCTTGTGTTTTTGGACCCTGACCCCGCGGATCTGCGTGAGGGGTGGCACCGAATTTCAGAAATGTGGCAAATCCCATGTGTTTTTGGACCCTGACCCCGCGGATCTGCGTGAGGGGTGGCACCGAATTTCAGAAATGTGGCAAATCCCTTGTGTTTTTGGACCCTGACCCCGCGGATCTGCGTGAGGGGTGGCACCGAATTTCAGAAATGTGGCAAATCCCATGTGTTTTTGGACCCTGACCCCGCGGATCTGCGTGAGGGGTGGCACCGAATTTCAGAAATGTGGCAAATCCCATGTGTTTTTGAACCCTGACCCCGCGGATCTGCGTGAGGGGTGTCGATTTCGAGCCCCCCCAGCAATTCAGACAACGCGCCCAGGGGAGGCTAAAAATCTTGTTTGGGCCTCCCCCCCCCTCGCGCGGTCAATCAACTAGTTACAGTAACCAGCAAGAAGCAAACCTGCAACACTGAAAACTACAAGCTACAACTGGTACAGGAAACTGCGAATCACGGTCCTACAGCCTGGTGGCCCCACAAGGGGGCCGGCGGATTTGTATTGCCTGTAAGGCCAAAGCTCAGGGGCTTGGCCACAAAAAACGAATGCATCGCTTAATGCGTCGGAGGCCCCAGGTTATGGCTTCACAAAGGCGAAAGGGGCCCAACGCACACCAACCGCTGCAAGCGCGGTGGCTGACTCACCATCCACTTTCTATGCCAGGTACGAGGCTTCTTGCCTCCCTCATCCCTCTAGTCTCCACAAGCATCCAGCCTCACCGGTAGCACAGATTCTATCTTCAGAGGCCGTGTCGGACTGCGCGGGTTCTGCGAAACACGTGCTATTTTTTGAAGTCGTGCTGTCTTTCTTCCACCAGCCTCACCAGTAGCGCAGATCCTACCCCTGCGCGAGCTATGCGAAACGCGTACTATTCATCTGGGATCGTGCCCTCCCCCCTCCACCCGCCTCACCAGTAGCGTATGTTATACTTGCAGGGAGGCCGTGTCGGACTGCGCGAGCTGTGCGAAACACGTGTTATTTGTCGTGCCCCCCAGCCTCCACAAGCCCCATCCGCAGCACGGATTTCTACTTCCCCGGAGGGATGTGTGACACGCGTGTTAGTTTTCCGGGAGGGTGCCCTCCCCCCTTTAAAAACCCTGCCGGTAGCGCAGATCCTACCTCCAGGGAGTCCGTGTCGAATTTTGTGGAGTGTTTCCCCTCCTTGACTTCGTCTGCCCTTCCACGCGTGCATATCAATGCCACGAGCCTCCCGTTCATATTTCGACTGTTATGCCTCGTTGAGCTCGCGACGCCCTTGACATCCTTATGTGGGGAGCTCCGACTGCATAATCGAGAGGGGTGTCGAGGGAGGCCGTACTGGCCCTAGCTAGAGGCCGGTAGAGTGGGGAAGGTGTGCATACTCATAAGGAGCAATGACAAACCTTTCGCCGAAAGGGGACGAAGGGGGGTGAAAGAACGAAACCTCTAAGCCCCGAGTCCCAGAGCTGGTGGGATTCAGAATCGTAAGCTCTGTAACTCTGTGGTCTAAGGTCTTGTGAATGAGTGGGCGCGGCAGAAGTCGCGGTTGCCAGAACATCGAATAGATGAGAAGGTCGCCGTGCACTTGGTTGCCTAACTGTCGGACCTCAGACGCGCAGCCTGGCGTCCCCCCCCCCGCAAGGGAGACGGCAGGATTGAGGTCAGGTTCCCCACGCCACCGCGTGCTCACGTCAATTGTCCTGCTTCCATGCCTCGAGCTCGCAGCGCATCCCACATGCCTACCCACCGACGGCCCCCTGCACACCATCGACCACCATCGCCAAACCACCAGCCACCAGCCACCAGCCGTCCCTTAACATCGTCTTTGCACAATTTGCCTACACCACCGTCCGCCGTCGCCCACCAACAAGTCATTTTCTTGTACACACTGGCAGGAGGTCAAGCGAAGTATACATCGCACACACGCGCAACTATTAGATACATATGCACCGCGTCACGACACACGAGTGGCAGCGTATGGCAAGTTTGGACTATATGTTTTGCCCGCTTGGGTCAGCGACACAATGCAATGTTACCTGTTTGCGATCTCGCGGCTGATAATGTTGAAGTTGCACGTCGGCTTCCGTATTCCAGGCTTGCGGCTAAATGCGTATTGCATCATGCGTTCGGGTGCGATTTCTTTGGTGCACACGAGAAGGGAGGCTTGTTCAGAATTTGTGATTTCCCCTGTCAGGACCCACCTTTCCTGAAAATCTTCGCTGGCGTGGGCAAGGTTCAGGTGTTCTGCCGCGAGGCGCCCAAGAACGAGAGCGTCATCTTGCACCTCCGCATCGACGAACTTACGGAGCAGCAGCAGATCTTCACGTGCACTGTGCACAACGAGGCTGGCGTTGTGCTTTGGGTGATGGAGAATGTAATATTCCGAAAGGTTCTACCCGAACAGATCCAGAAGGCTCTGGAGGCGACCAAGAAGAAGGAGGACGTGAGTTTTTTCGACGCGCAGTGGATGCCTGTCAAGGACGCATCCGACGAGCTGGCCGCAGACAGCGGTACCTGGCTGGTCCTGGCTGAGGACAAGAAGCTGCTCGAGGAGATGAGCAAGACCTTGGGCAGCAGGCACACCTACGGCTCTGCGCTCAGCCTCCCCGACGACTTATATGGCTTCACCAAAATCATCAGCGTGGCCGCCGAAAAGGCGTCCCACGTGGACGTCCTAGAAGGCTCGGTCAAAGTCTTGCAGCGCGTGGTCGGCATGGAGAAGACCGAGGAAAAGGCGCCACCAGAAGTTTTCTTCGTGCTGCAGGGCACGCAGGCGGCTGACGTCGCCGACCTCAGCGGCGCACCGGTGCCCATGCATGCAGGAGTTTGGGGAATGTCGCGCTGCCTGCGGCTCGAGCATCCCGACGCCTTGGCAGGATGCATCGAGTTGGGCGGCTGCGGCGGTGGTGCCGCCGACCTCGTGGCACGGCTGCGCGCCGTGCGGGTGCGGCAGGACGACCTACTAGAGCCAGAGATCGTGTTACAGGGTGCGAGTTCGACGCCCACACAGTACGTCGCACGCCTGGCTGAGGTCACCGCGCAGTTCCCCGTCCAGGAGCAGCTCTCCTTCGACAAGGAGGGCTCATACGCCGTCAGCGGCGGCACGGGCGGCCTCGGGCTGTTGTTCGGTCGCTGGATGGCCGACCATGGCGCGGGCCACTTGGCGCTGCTCTCGCGCAGCGGGAAGGCCCCTCCAGAGTCCTCGGCCATGATGGACCAGCTGCAGGCGTTGGGCGGCGTCACCGTCTCTGTCCAGAAGTGCGACGTGCAGGACGCGGCGGACGTGAAGGCGCTGTTCAAGAGCCTCAAAGGCGTCAAAGGCGTCATCCACGCGGCGGGCGTTCTGGACGATCACCTCATCGTGGACTTGGAGAGGCAGCATTTCGAGAAGGTGTTGAAGCCTAAGGTTGACGGCACTCTGAACTTGAGCGCTGCGCTGGAGAGCGCGGCGGGGCTGGATTTCTTCGCTCTGTTTTCCTCCATCGCCGCCATGCTTGGCTCTCCGGGCCAGGCCAACTACTGCTCTGGCAACGCCTTTATGGACTCATACGCGCTCCACCGGCGCGCGCAGGGTCACTCCGCAGTGAGCGTCCAGTGGGGCCCTTGGGCCGAGGTGGGCATGGCCGCGCGAGCGGGCACGTCAGAGACCAGCTATCAGCGGATCCCGCTCGCAGGCGGCCTCGCGGCCATGGGCGCCATCCTGGGTACGAGCGCGAGCGTGGTGGGCGTGGCCCGGGTCAACTGGTCAAACTTGCTGGCTGGCATGGCCACGGTGCCTGCGTACCTGCAGAATTTCAAGAGCTTCAAGAAGGCCGCAGTCGCCGCGGGCGCGAGCATCTCGCGCGACCTAGTGTCATCGACGATCCAAGATGTGTTGTGCGACGTGCTCGGGGACCCTGACCTGGCCGACTTCTCCGTGCCTTTGATGGACATGGGCTTGGACTCGCTGTCGGCCGTGGAATTCCGGAACCGCGTGCAGGCGTCCTTCGACGGGTTGACGCTCACGGCGACGGTCATGTTCGACTACCCCACCGTGGCCGACCTCAGCGATTTCATCGTGTCGCAGTTCGGCGGGGGCGGTGAGGAAGGCGGCGAGGGTGGTGCAGCTCGCGAGCTAAACGCACAGGAGGCGCTCGCGATGCTCGGCGTGGCGTCGCGCTTCCCAGGCTGCAAGACCAACACGGCTGACGAGTACTGGAGCATGCTCATCCAAGGCAAAGACATGATCTCCGAAGTGCCAATCGAGCGCTGGGACGTCGACGAGTATTACGACGAAGACCCCTCTGCCGCGGGCAAGATGTACGCGCGCAACGGCGGCTTCATTACAGGGCTCGGGGACTTCGACGCCAAGATGTTCGGGATCCTTGACCTGGAGGCCCAGTCGATGGACCCACACCAGCGCATCCTCCTTGAGGTGGTGTACGAATCCCTGTGGCACTCAGGCTTCTCGAAGGACGATGTTTCGAACAGCAACACAGGATCCTTCATCGGTTGTGCCACTCTCGGCGGCATCAGCGTCCTCGACGACGACATCGGGCCGTACACAAACATCGGCTCCTTCCCCTCCGGGAATTCTGGGCGCGTGTCGCACGCCCTTGGTCTTCGCGGGCCTTGCTTCACTATCGACACCGCGTGTTCCGCCACGCTTGTGGCCTTGGACTGCGCAGCGCAGGCCTCCCGTCTGGGCAAGACTGACAAGTCCGTGGTGGCGGGGAGCAACTTGCAGCTATGCCCCAATACTTGGGTTGGCTTCTGCAAGATGAGCGCGCTATCCGTCGACGGGCGCTGCAAGACCTTCGACGCGTCCGCCAATGGCTTCACCCGCAGCGAGGGTGCGGGATCTTGCATCACGGAGCTCGTGTCCACCACGGAGAGACGCGGCAAGGTGGCCGTGTGCCAGGTGATCGGCACATGCGTAAACCAGGACGGGCGCAGCGCAACGATCACCGCGCCCAGTGGCCCAGCGCAGCAGCGCTGCATCAATTCCGCTCTCGCTGATGCTTCCGTGGACGGTGAGGAGATCAGCATGGTCGAAGTACACGGCACGGGCACTGCGCTCGGGGACCCGATCGAGATCGGCGGGTTGAAGTCGACCGTCGGCAAGGGCCGGTCTGCCGGGGACCCTGTGATCTTGGCAGCTGCCAAGTCCATCATCGGCCACGAAGAGGGTGCCGCCGGTATCGCTGGCATCGTGAAGATGGTGGCCTCAATGCAGCACAAGCAGATACCAAAGAACTTGCATTTGAAGCAACTCAACCCGAACATCGATCTGGACGGCTTCGCCGTGATCATGCCTGACAGCCTCATCGACTGGAGACCCAACAACGTGAAGGCGGGCACCTCGTCTTACGGCTTCAGCGGCACCAACTCACACTCCATCTTGGAAGGCCCGAAGCTCAAGGACGGCGAGGTGCTGTCGCTGGTCCGCGCCGATCCGCTACCCTGGAACAAGACGCCCCACCGCCTCCTCGGGATGGAGGCCATGGCGAGGAAGTTCTGGTATGCCCTGGAGTGGCGACCTCAGGAACTGACCGCGCAGGACGCGAAGGGGATGCTGCCATGCTTGGTCGTCGGCAACGGGGACGTGGCGCGCGCGCTCCAGAAGACGCTCGACTGCGACCTGGTGGAGAGTGGCGCAGGTTTGTCTGCGAAGCTGAAGGAGCAAGAGTGGGCGACGCTCGTCTTCGCCGAGGCACTCTCGGCCGACGACCCGACCCTGGAGGGCAGCACGCTGGCCGACCTCTTGGAGCTTTGCAAGGCTTCCATGGGCACAGGCCGGTCGACGCGCCTGGCTGCTGTCACTATTGGCGCACAGTCGGTTGCAGGCGGCAGCATCGGCCGCGGAGTCGTCGGCTCAGCTATCTGGGGCTTCGTGCGCACGTTGCCTTTCGAGGCCCCAGGCCTGAAAGTGCAGAGCATCGACCTCTGCGACGTCTCCGACACGGACGCTGCCGCTCAGACGATCGCGAATGAGCTCAGCGTTTCCACGGCGGGCATGGAAGCAGAAGTGGCTTACATCGACGGCGTACGCAAGGTGCCCCGGCTCGCCACGTGCCCAGTGCCCCAGGGAAGCGCCGACATCGCCCGGCCAGAGGCCACGCAGCTGGTCACGGGAGGCCTCGGCGGCCTTGGCCTCCTCTGCGCGCAGTCGCTGGCAGACCTTGGGTCGCAGAGCCTCGTGCTCGTGTCCAGGAAGGGCAGGGTGCCGGACGGCGAGGAGGCCGTCGCGGCCCTGCTGGAGAATTTGAAGAAGTCCAGTGCCACCGTGCACGCGTGGGCCTGCGACGTGTCAGACGCCAAGCAGGTGAGTAGCCTGACCAAGCGGATCGGCCAGGAGATGCCCAGCAACCCTCTGGGCGGAGTCGTGCACTCCGCAGGGGTCCTCGACTTCATCGACATCCAATCGCAGAGCCCAGAGAGGTGGGCACCCGTTTTCAAGGCGAAGGTGTCCGGGGCATGGAACTTGCACGAGGCGACGGAGGGAACGAAGCTGAATAATTTCGTGCTCTTCTCCTCGGTGTCAGCTTTCGTCGGCCTCTCCCGCGGGACCAGCTACTCTTCCTCCAACGCGTACCTGGACGGCCTGGCCCTCTGGCGTCGTGCGCAGGGTCTCCCTGCCACGGCGCTGCAATGGGGGCCTGTGGCAGAAGTGGGCATGTCCTCTCGGGACTCTCACGGCATCGCCGACTCGGCCCTGAAGCTGATCAAGCCGTCGCAGGTCCAGAAAGCCTTCAGCCAGTCGCTCTTCGCTGGGAGCATGCCTGCTTCGCTTGCCTTCGCGCGTGTGGATTGGGGCCAATTCCAGAAGGAGCTGGGCATCCAGGTCCCTGTGCTTCAGGATTACGATGGGGAGGAGAAGGTGGCTGGGGGCCCTGGAGGGGGCGTGCCCGACGCGTTCAAGGGCCTCTCTGCGGACCAGGTGCAGAGCCAGGTCAGCACGATGGTCGCACAGATCGCCTCGGGCGTGCTCGGTCTGGAGCTGGAGGAGCTGTCTCTGGACGCTCCGCTGATGGAGGCTGGCCTGGACTCGCTGTCCTCGGTGGACTTCCGCAACCAGGTGGCGAAGAAGCTGCCAGGCCTCAAGATGCCCAGCACGCTGATGTTCGACTACCCCAACACTCGCGAAATCGCCAGCTTCGCGGCCTCGATGCTGGCGCCGGCCGACGCCGCCAGCGCACCGCAGGCCGCTGGCGCGCCAAGGGCGTCACCCACAGCCCCCGGCGGCGCAGCGGTCGCCGAGAGCACGGAGCCTGTGGGCATCTGGTCTGGCGCCTACCGCTTCCCCGTGGACGGCACCAGCCTTGGTGAACTGTGGGCCGCACTCGACTCGCAACATGACGGCGTGACCGAGATCCCCTTCGACCGCTGGGACGTGGACGCTTACTACAGCGCCGACCAGGAGGAGCCCGGCAAGATGTACGTCAGGCCCGTGCCGGGGGCCTACGAAGGGCCGAAGGGTCGTGGAGAGATCCTTGGGGGTTCGCTTGGGGGTGGTTTCGCCTGGCAGAGGGCGGTGTAACCGCGATAAGCAATTAAGACCCCCCCTTCCGGTGAAACAATAACGCGCCCAGCACCCTGAAACGTTATCCTGGCACCCCGAGGGGGAGGAGGAGGAGGAGGAGGAGGAGGAGGAGGAGGAGGAGGAGGAGGAGGAGGAGAAGAAGCAGGAGAAGAAGCAGGAGAAGACGCAGGAGAAGGAGGAGGAGGAAGAAGAGGAGGAAGAGGCGGGAGGGGAGGAGGAGGAGGAGGAGGAGGAGGAGGACAGGGAGGAGGAGGACAGGGAGCATGTCAGGCACGGCGGCTTCGTGAAGGACGCCGACAAGTTCGACGCCACCTTCTTCGGCCTCTCGAGTGCCGAGTCGAAGGTGATGGACCCGCAGCAGCGGCTGCTTCTGGAGGTGATCTACGCGGGCTTCCACAGCGCGGGCTTCCGAAAGGACAAGCTGTCGGGCACACGTGGGGCCATCTGCGTGGGGCAGTGCAACAACGATTGGGGCCACATGGGTTTTTCGATGGACGAGTCGGAGAAGATCAGCGTGTACACAGGCTTGGCCGTGTCGACGTCCATCTCCTCGAACCGCGTGTCCTACATCCTTGGCCTGAAGGGCCCGAGTGCCACCATCGACACGGCGTGCTCGTCGTCCTTGATGGCGGCAGACGTGTTGGTTTCTAACCTGCGCCGGAGCAGGTGCTCGATGGGCGCTGCCGCCGGCGTGAACCTTAACCTGACTCCCGGGCCATTCATCGCGTGTAGCAAGGCCCACATGCTCTCCGAGGACGGCCGGTGCATGACCTTCGACAACCGCGCCAACGGCTACGTGCGGGGCGAGGGTTGTGGCATGGCGACGCTGGCACGCCTGGCCGACATGGACGAGAGGGGTGACGCCTCGCTTGCCGTGATCCACGGCGTCGGTGTGAACCAGGACGGCCGCAGCACGAGCCAGACGGCGCCGCACGGCCCCTCGCAGCAGGACGTGATCATGACCGCGGTCAACGAGGCGGGGCTGGACGCAGCCTCGATCAATGCCTCTGAGTGCCACGGCACGGGCACCGCACTGGGCGATCCCATCGAGGTCGGCGCTCTGAGGGGCTCCCTAGGCGTGGGACGGCAGGCATCAAGCCCGCTCACCCTGTGCGCGGTGAAAACCAATCTTGGGCACTTGGAGGGCGCCGCGGGCATCGCTGGACTCCTGAAGGTGGCTCTGATGCTTCCACGGCGCCTGGCGCCGCCGAACCTGCACTTCAAGGAGCTGAACGAGCACATCGACCTCGACGACTTTCCCACCACGATCCCAGCAAGCAGTACAGAGCGCATTTCCGGCGAGACCCTCTCTTGCGGTTTGTCCTCTTTCGGCTTCGGCGGTACCAACGCCCACGTGGTGTCCCAGGAGTCTGCTGGTGCAGCACCAACGGCCCAGGAGGAGGTAGCATACAATCCGCAGTCGTTCGCGTGGCAGCAGGTGAAGCACCCATTGCTGTCGAGACAGCAGAAGATGCCCGACGGGAAGCAGGTGTTCGCAGCTCCCTTCTCTGGCCGGCTCTTCCAGCTAGTCTCGCATCACATCATCTTCGGGGAGATCGTGGTGCCGGGGGCCACGTATCTCGAGATGGTGTTGGCGTCAGGTGAGTTCCACCTTGGTGGCCGCGGCTTCCAGTGGCATATCCGCAACATCGGTTTCCAGTCGCCACTGGTGCTGAAGACAGGACCAGACGGGCAGTTGGCCCGCCCAGTTGACCTCTACCTGGAGCTGCTGCCCGGGGGGCACTGGCTTATGAGCAGCTTCGACCCTGCGCTCGGCAAGGTCCTTGCCGTCCACGCGGAGGGCGAGTTGGACATCGGAAGGGAGGCAAGCACGCAGCCTGTACTGGACGTGGAGGGCGCGAAGGCGCGGTGCGACGAGGACGTGGCGATCGAGAGGCTATACCTGCCCTTCTCGAAGATTGGCCTTCCGCTGCAGCCGCGCTTCAGGACCGTACGCAAGATCCTCCGCGGCGACAACGAGGTGCTTGCCAAGGTCGAGGCCGAGAACGACGCCACGAATGCTGGTTTCCTCTTCAACCCAGCCGTCATCGATGGGACTTTCCAGGGCAGCATGGCTTTGATGCTCGCGAGGCGCTCAACGGAGGTGGACGACCTGACCAGCCTGCGTATTCCGCTGCTCTGTCAGGTGTTTACAAACTATTCCCAAGGCTACCAGACTCACATCTGGGTGAACCATCGCCTGATCGAGATGACAGACCGCGAGATCGCCGTGAACGCCCAGCTGAGCAAGGAGGATGGAAAGGTGATGCTCTCTTACGAACAGATGCGATTCCGCGAGGTGAGGCCAGAGCACATCCAGAAGATGTTGCAGCAGGCAACCGAGGAGGTCGAGGAAGACATCTTGCAGCAGGAGTGGGTGCCCCTGGAGGCAAAGGGCGGCAAGCCAGGTCCGCTGGCCGGCAAGGTGGTTTTCATTGGCGCAACGGCCGCACTGGCCTCGGAGCTCGCGAAGCTCTTCAAGGGTGCCGAGTTCATTGAGGAGTCCCTGTCTCTCAGCGCCGCAAGTGCTAAGAAGACAACGTACGTTCATGTGGGGGCCCTTTCGCAGCCTGCAGAGCTGGAGACGCTCACTTGCACAATGGCCCTGTGCCAGGCGGCGATGGCGGAGGCGGCCAAGGACTCGGATCTTGCGCCCTCGGTGTGGTGGATCACTCGCGCCACGCAGGCATGCGGTGCCGACGGCAGCTTCACGCACGCTGGCATGTGGGGCATGGCGCGGACGGCGCGGATGGAGGAGCGGTCTCTTCGCTTGCGCTGCTTGGACTTGGACGCGTCCACGATCAACGACGCTCAGGCAGCACAGGTGCTGGCGAATTGGCTGGGCGCCCTCACTGGCAGCGCTGCCCTCGACGCCGAGACAGAAGTCGCACTGCGACCGAGTGAGGACGGTGCGCTAAAGGCGTTGGTGTCACGCCTGGACCGCAGCAAGGTGCAGGTCCGGAAGGCCATGCGCCTGCAGATGTCTGCCCGCGGCAGCCTCGCCAACCTGCGGCCTGTGCCGCAGACGCACAGGCCTGCGCCGACCAACGAGGAGGTGGAGCTCCGCGTCCGAGCGGTCGGCCTGAATTTCCGCGACGTGCTAAACGTCATGGGCATGTACCCAGGCGACCCTGGAAACCCTGGCGGCGATTGCTCTGGCACGGTGACCAAGGTCGGATCGGACGTCTCGGACTTGAAGCCCGGCAACGATGTATTCGGCATCGCGTTCGGCAGCCTCCAGACGTATTGCAACACGCACCACCACCTCGTAGTGGAGATGCCGAGGGAGGGCTGGAGCTTCGAGCAGATGGCCTCATGGTCGGTCACCTTCGCTACTACGGAGGAGGCCTTCCAGGAGCTCGCTGCGGTGACAAAAGGGCAGCGAGTGTTGATCCACGCTGCCACAGGCGGCGTCGGCCTCGTCGCCGTCCAGTTTGCGCAGCGCGTGGGGGCCACCATCTACGCCACCGCTGGCAGCCCAAACAAAGTCGATCATCTCAAGGAGATGGGAGTGAAGTACATCACCACCAGCCGCGACGACGAAGCCTTCGAGGAAGACATGAAGCGGATGATGAAGGAGGACAAGTGCCAGGATGGCATCGATTGCGTGCTGAACAGCTTGAGCCACAAGGAGTACATCGGCCGCTCGCTGTCTATGCTCAAGAAGCGCGGACGCTTCATGGAGATCGGCAAGCGGGGTATCTGGAGCCATGACGAGATGAAGGAGAAGCGCCCAGACGTGCAATACGAGAAGATCGCGATGGATTGGGTGATGGAACATGATCCAGCGCGGTACAATGTACTCATGCGGCGTCTGGTGACACAGATGGAGCAGGGTTGGTGGAAGCCACTGCCCACCACCATCTTTGAGGGCCTCACCTCTGGCGTGGACGCGCTCCGCTTTCTGCAGCGCGCGCAGCAGATCGGCAAAGTCGTGTTGACCACGCCCTCACGAATGGGGTGCGAACCAGACGGTTGCTACGTGCTCAGCGGAGGTGTCGGCGCATTGGGATTGGTCACCGCCCAGATGATGGCCGAAGAGGGTGCCAAGTCTCTCGTGCTCATATCGCGCAAGGGCGCAGTGGGCTCCGACTCGCAGGTGCAGTGGCAGCACCTCCAGAGTTTCGCCATCGACATTAAGCTGAAGGCCTGCGACATCGGCAACATGGACGACGTCCAGGTATTTTCGGCTGGATTGGCCTCGGAGCTCGCGAAGCAGACTCCCGCGGCGCGCGTGCGGGGCCTGGTGCACCTCGCGGCCGTGCTGGACGACGCTACGCTGCCGAAGCTTACCAGGGGACACCTCGAACGGGCCTTTGGCGCGAAGGTCTTCGGTTCTCGCCACCTCCATTGCGCGCTCTCCAGCAAGAAGGACCCGTTGGATTTCATGGTGCTGTTCTCGTCCACCTCGGCGCTCCTGGGATCACCGGGGCAGGCAAACTACACCGCGGCCAACGCCGCCCTGGACGCGCAGTCTTGGGTGTGGCAGCAGAGAGGCGAGAAGGCGTGGAGCGTACAGTGGGGCCCGTGGCGCGAGGCAGGCATGGCCGCGCAGAAAGGCACCGTGGAGAGGCTGAAGTCGCAGGGGCTCGGCAGCATCGGCAACGCTGTGGGCATGGCGGCGCTCTGCTGCGCGCTGGCCTCGGACTGCAGCGTCATCGCCGCATGCCCGGTCTACTGGGGCCAGTACCTGAAGCAGTTTGGGCAGGCTGTGCCGCCTTTCCTGGCGCGCTTCAAGAAGGAGGCCGGGGCCGGCGCACCTGGCGTCGCTGCAGCTACGGCGAGCGCCAGTGCCAGCCCAGGCATCACCCCCCAGATGATGGGCCAGCTCGTGCTGAGCACCGCCGTGGAGGTCATGGGCGTCGCTAACGTTGACACCGAGGTGCCGCTCATGGAAGCCGGCATGGACTCGCTGGCGGCGGTCGAGTTCCGCAACCGCCTCTCGGGACAGCTGCCCGGGGTCAAACTGCCCAACACGCTCATCTTCGATTACCCGACCATCACGGCCATCAGCGGATACGCGTCGACCCAGCTCGGGCCTGTATCTGTTGGTGGCGGAGCCGCTGTGCCGACCATCACACCGGAAGTGCTGAATGAGATGGTGCTCCAGACGGCGGCCGAGGTCATGGGCACTGCCAGCGTCGACGCGGAGGTACCGCTCATGGAGGCCGGCATGGACTCCCTCGCGGCGGTGGAGTTCCGCAATCGCTTGTCTGGGCAGCTGCCTGGAGTCAAACTGCCCAACACGCTCATCTTCGACCACCCGACAGTCTCCGCCATCGGCCGCTTCGCCTCCTCGCAACTCGCGCCGGCCGCTGGCGCGAAGGCGGCGGCTCCTCTGCATGGCGCCGGCAGCCGCGTTCAGGTCCAGGTTCAAGGCCTCGCATCCTCATTCCCGGGCGGCCGGGACGGCGCCTACTGGGACGATTTCGCCAGCCGTAGAGACGGCGTGGTGGAAGTCCCCTACACCCGCTTCGACATAGACGCCTACTATGATTCTGACCCCGACACCCCCGGCAAGACATACGCGAGGCATGGAGGCTTCGTCGACGGAGCCGAGCTCTTCGATGCCGGGGCGTTCACGCTATCGCCTGCAGAGGCCAAGGTGATCGACCCACAGCAGAGGATGATTCTGGAGGTTGCTCAGAGAGCCTTCGCCTTCGCGGGCAGGGAGAAGGCCGGCATGATGGGCGCGGACATCGGCGTCTTCGTAGGCCAGGCCCAGCACGACTGGTTCGTCATGACAAGCTCTGGCAGCTCCTTCAGCACCTACACTGGCACGGGCATCAGCGCGTCGATCTGCGCCAACCGCATCTCCTACCTATTCGGCGTGAAGGGCCCAAGCTTCGTGTGCGATACGGCTTGCTCTTCTTCTCTGGTGGCTGCCGACGCCGCCCTCAGCTCGGTCCACAGGGGCACGAGCGAGGCCGCCCTCATCGGTGGCACGCAGCTTATTCTCGGGGTGGTGCCCTACATCAGCTTCAGCAAGGCGAAGATGCTTAGCGAGACCGGCAGGTGCATGACGTTCGACGAGTCGGCGAATGGCTATTGCCGCGGCGAGGGCGTTGGCGCCGCATTCGTGGGTCCCACGCCGGAGTCCCTGGCGCAAGTGGTCTGTGACCTTGCAGCCACCGCCACCAACCAGGACGGCCGCAGCGCCAGCCTCACGGCTCCGAACGGACCGTCGCAGCAGGCGGTCATCCTCCGTGCGTTGTCCGAGGCTGGCATTGAACCGAAGGACGTGGCCACCGTTGAGTGCCATGGTACGGGCACATCCCTGGGGGATCCCATCGAGGTGGACGCGCTGGCCAACACGCTCGGCAAGGACCGCAGCAAGATGCTGGCGCTCACCTCCGCCAAGTCGAACATCGGCCACCTGGAGGGCTCGGCCGGCATGGCTGGCCTTGTGAAGGCCGCGTACATGATGCAAACTGGGAAGGCGACCCCCAACCTGCACTTCCAGACGCTCAACTCGCACATCGACCTCGATGGCTTCCCGGCCTTCGTAGTGCAGGAGATGTACGAGCTGGAGCCCGCATTGGCGTCTGGCCTGTCCTCGTTTGGCTTCGGCGGCACCAACGCGCACGTGGTGCTCGCGAGCTCCTCGCCGCCGAGCGCGGCACCGACCACGGGCGCAGCCCAGGTGGAGTTCAAGCACACGCCGTTCCCCTGGAGGGACCCAGTCTACCGGATGCTGCGCAAGAAGATCAGTGAGGGCAAGGACACGCACTTCGAGGTGCCCTTCAAGGCGGACATCTTCTGGGCAGTGGCAGAGCACGTCGCCTTTGACGAGATCGTGGTGCCAGGCGTGGCCTACGTTGAGCAAGCCATGGAGGCCACCAGGGTGCTCATGGGCAACCAAGCCTACATAAAGGACGTGCAGATGACGTGGCCGCTCGTTATCCCCAAGGACGCGTGGAAGGATGGCACGACGCCCGTCTACCTCCGCTTCGCGCAGATGGGCAGCGATAAGTTCGAGATCCGCAGCAGGCGCGGCGACAGCCCGGAGCAGATGACCCACTGCGAAGGCAAGATTGGTCGCGGAACCTCGGAGCCAGCGATGCTCCCCTTGGACGACCTGAGGAGCATGTGCGACACGGAGGTGCCCTCTGCGGACGTCTACGCTGCCGTGCACAAGGGCGGGCTCTACCTCGGCCCCATGTTCCAAGTCTGCAAGCACATGATGCGAAGCGACGGTGCAAAGGGTGACGAGGTCCTCTGCCGTCTCGAGCACTCCACGGAGGAGGGGCACCTCCCAGTCAACATGGGCTACTGGATGCACCCGGGCATGCTCGATGGAACGATCCACGTGCTCGGCTGCACAATGGTTGGCTGGGATGCCCCACTGAAGATCTTCGCAGGCATCGGCTCATTGAAGTGCAAGCAACACAGGGACTTTTCTCGCGAGTCCGTCTACTGGGTGCACTTGCACCTCATGGAGTTCTCCATGACGCTCCAGACCTTCACGACCACGGTCGCTGACGATGAGGGGAACATCTTATTCGTTGGAGACGACGTGTCGTTCCGCGCGGTGACACGGGAGCAGATCCTCAAGGCGATGGAGAGCCAGATGCCCGAGGACGCCCAGAAGCTGTACCAGGTCGGTTGGACCGACGTGCCAGCCAGGAAAGACCAGGCCGAGGAAGAGGACGAGGTGAAGACCCTCGTCGTCGCTGAGGCTGGAGACTTCTCCGCACAGGTGGCGTCGGCTCTCGGAGACCATGCCTCCTGTGTAGCGCCTTCGGCTGTATCGCAGGACCAGCTCACCGATTGCAGTAGGGTGATCAGCCTGGCAGGGCTCTCGGATGCGCCGTGCCTGGACGTCTTGGATGTCGCGTTGAGCCTGATGAAGGGGTTGGTCCACGCCAAGGACGACGCTCCGGAGCTGTGGTTTCTGACGCGGTCCGCTGTTGCCGTGGAGCAGAAAGACATGGTGGACGCCCCGATACCGACGCATGCGGCACTATGGGGCCTGGCGAGGTCCTTCCGTGCCGAGTACCCACAATTCAAGGTGGCATGCTTGGACCTGGATGCCAGCTGCACGTCTGGCACGGTGGTCGCCGGTGTTGTTGGCGAGGTGGCCGGCCGCGTCGCCAAGACCTTCGAGCCCGAGTTGGCACTGCACTCCGGCAGACTGGTGGCATCGAGGCTCGTGGATGACACCGCAAACATCAAGGCCGCAGAGGAGGCCGCATTTAAGGAGGACGCGTCGTACGTTGTCAGCGGCGGTACGGGCGCCCTGGGCCTGCTCTTCGCGGGCTGGATGGCGGACAAAGGAGCCAAGAGTTTCGTGCTCTTGTCGCGCAGTGGCACAGTGCAGACCGACTCGCAGCAGCTCTTCGACAAGGTTTCGGGGATGGCGAAGGTGAAGAAGTGCGACATCGCCAGTGCCAGCGATGTGGAGCAGACGATGAAGCAGATAAGTGACGAGCTTCCACCGGTTCGCGGCATCATCCACGCCGCAGGCACCCTAGACGACCACCTCATCCTCGACCTCGAGCGCAAGCATTTCGATGGTGTCATCTCGCCGAAGGTCGACGGCACGCTGAATCTTCACAGGGCGACGGCAGGCATGCCGCTTGACTTCGTCGCGCTCTTCTCGTCTGTGGCCGCCATGATCGGCACCGCGGGGCAGGCCAACTACTGCGCGGGCAACGCGTTCATGGACGCGTTCGCTACGCACCGGCGCGCACACGAGCTTCCAGCCGTGAGTGTCCAGTGGGGCCCGTGGGCGGAAATCGGGATGGCCGCTCGCGCTGGCACTTCCGAGAGCGTCATCCTGCGGATCGAGCTCCAGGCGGGGCTTCAGGCGATGGAGGCGATACTGAGTGCTCAGGCCTCGCTGCTCACTGGCGTCGTGGGAGTCGCCCGCATCAAGTGGGCGTCCTTCCTGGCGCAGATGGCGGCGGTGCCGCAGTTCCTGGACAACTTCAAGCAGTTCAAGCCGAAGGAGAAGGCACAGGCCCTGACGGGCCCCAGCGGCGCCGCCCCGCCCAAGGAGCTGGTCAAGTCGGGCATCGAGGGCATCCTGAAAGAAGTCCTCGGGGACGACACCTTAAGCGACTTCTCGGCCCCCTTGATGGACCTGGGCCTGGACTCCCTGGCAGCAGTGGAGTTCCGGAACCGCGTCCAAGCCTCGTTCGAGGGCGTCCGCTTGGCCTCGACCATCATGTTCGACTACCCCACCGTCGCAGACCTCACGGACTTCATCCTTTCCCAATTCGCCCCGGACGAGGACGAAGGCGGTGCGGGCGCCTTGGGCGACGCGGGCGCTGCCATTCGCGAGCCGCTGGGCGTGGTGGGCATCGCTGGCCGTTACCCAGGCATGTCCGTCAGTAACGACATCCAGGAATACTGGAGCGCTCTCTGCTCCAGCGTGGACCCCAACCAAGAGATTCCGATCGAGCGCTGGGACGTCGACCAGTACTACGACGAGGACCGGCAGGCCGCAGGCAAGATATACGTGCGCACGGGCATGTTCATTCCCGCCGTTCAGGAGTTCGACGCCGGATTCTTTGGCATCAGCGAGCCCGAGGCTCGTGGGATGGACGCCCACCAGCGCTTGATGACCGAGGTGGCCTATGAGAGTTTCCACTTGGCGGGCCAGTCTAAGGAAACGTTGAACGGAGTCGAGTGCGGGGTATTCATGGGCTGCTGCACGCTCACGGGCATCGACGTACATGACGACGACATCGGCCCTTTCACCAACATCGGCGCAGGAATCAGTGGCCTGTCAGGCCGCATCTCCCACGCCCTCGGTCTGCGCGGCCCCTGCTTCGCCATCGACACGGCCTGCTCGTCCACGTTGGTGGCCATGGACTGCGCCAGCCAGGCCAGCCGCATGGGCCGCCAGGAGATGGGATGTGTGGCGGGCGTGAACCTGCAGCTGCGCACTGACATGTGGATCGGCTTCTGCAAGATGACAGGCCTGGCCCCCGACGGCCGCTGCAAGACTTTCGACGTCTCCGCCGACGGCTTCGCGCGCGGCGAGGGCGTCGGCTCCTTCATCCTTCGCTTACGAGGCGCCGCGGAGTCCAAGGGCGAGGCGATCTCCGCGATCGCCCGGGGAAGCTGCGTGAATCAGGACGGTCGCAGCGCGACGATCACGGCGCCCAGCGGACCTGCGCAGCAGAGGGCTCTCACCGCCTCGCTGCGGGATTCCGACCTGAAGGCTCTGGAGGTCACGCTGGTAGAGTGCCACGGGACAGGTACCTCGCTGGGAGACCCCATCGAGGTCGGGGCTCAGGAGAAGATCTACGGCAAGGAGCGGTCCGACGACGAGAGCCTCATACTGGCCGCGGGCAAGTCGTTCGCTGGCCACCTCGAGGGTGCTGCCGGCGTTGCTGGGCTGACCAAGCTGGTGCTGATGATGGAGCACCGGCAGGCGCCGCCGAACCTGCATCTCAAGAAGATGAACCCCAACATCGATCTGTCCAGCTTCCCGACGGCCATCCCCGACTCCATGATGCCGTGGAAGGCGGCAACCCTCTGCGGCGGAGTCAGCTCGTTCGGTTTCAGCGGCACCAATTCGCACGTCAACACTGAGGAAGCGCCGAAGCAGTCGCCTGAGATCACGGGTGCTGCCCTCGAGCGGCATGCCCTCTCTTGGGCGAGGAAGGACATGGCTTACCGGGATTGGGCCAAGGAGCTCTTCTGGACGCTGTCCTGGCGCGCCACGCCGCTGCCGGACGGCGGCAAGGAGCCCGCCGAGGCGGGGGCTGTGCTCATAGTCGGCGGCGGGGACCTCCAGAAGCCGCTGCTGGAGGCGCTGCCGACAGCGACTGCGGTGGCTGCGTCCGACGCCTCGGCCATCTCCCAGCAGAGCTTCGGAATTGTGATCTTCGCGGAGACCGCCGTCGCCGACGAGCCCGCCTTGGAGGGAAGGACCACGGCCGCGCTGCTGGCCGTGGTTCAGGCCCTGGCCGCCTCCAAGAACGCTGTAGAGCTGGTGGTGCTGACCCGCGGCGCACAGGAGGCCAAGGCCGAAAGCTCGGACCAGGTCGGGGTTGGCCTGCTCGGAGCGGCTGCGTGGGGCTTCATGCGCTCTGTGAGACTGGAGGCGCCGCACATCCAGGCACGCTGCATCGACTTCCCGCCAGACGAGGGCAATCTGGCGAACACGGTCGCCGACGAGCTTCTCGTGCCCCACAGCGAAGCGGACGCAGAGATAGCCTACATCGGGGGCGAGCGGTGCGTCCCCCGCCTTGGCCAGGGCAGCATCCCGACTTCGAGCTTCAGCGCGAGGCCCGACGGCGCATACCTGGTCACCGGCGGCCTTGGCGGCCTCGGTCTCAGCATCGCGCAGGACTTAGTCGACAAGGGCGCCGGCTGCGTCACGCTGGTCTCGCGCAGCGGCAGGACACCATCGGGCGACGCGAAGCTTGCCAGTATGTTGGAGACGCTGCAGTCGTCCACCGCCGAAGTGCGCGCCTGGTCTTGCGACGTGTCGGACTCCAGCAAGATGACTGAGCTGTTGAAGAAAATGGGCAGCGAGCTAACTGACTTCCCGCTGAGGAGCGTCGTGCACGCCGCGGGCGTTCTCGAGTTCCTCGACCTAGCTGCTCTTACGTCCGAGGGCGTGGAGAAGGTGTTCAAGCCCAAGGTTTCTGGCGCCTGGAACCTGCATCGCCACGTTGACGGGGCTTCGCTCGACTCATTCGTGCTCTTCTCGTCGGTATCGGCGCTCATCGGCCTTTCGCGGGGCGTTACGTACTCGGCCTCCAACGCGTACCTGGACGGCTTGGCGCTGTGGCGGCGCGCGCAAGACATGCCTGCCACGAGCATCCAGTTCGGCCCCGTGTCGGAAGTGGGCATGACGGCCAACGCAGAGCAGCACGGCCCTTCGGACGCCGCGCTGAAGATGGTGTCGCCGAAACACGTGCAAGCGGCGTTTGCGAGAGCAATCTCCGGTTCGAAGGTCCCGCCATCGCTGCTCTTTGCGCGTGCTGATTGGACTGGTTTCCTGGAGCAGATGGGCACTGGCGTGCCAGTGCTGCTCGACTTCACCGCCAAGGGCGACGCATCTGGTAGCGGAGGTTCGGCCTCCATTTTCCAAGGCATGTCCGCTGGCGAGATCGGCGATACGGTGTCCAGACTAGTGCTGGACGTGGCAGCAGGGGTCCTGGGAGAGGAGATCCACGCTGACGCGCCGCTCATGGAGTCTGGTCTCGACTCGCTCACGTCCGTGGACTTCCGCAACCAATGCTCGAAGAAGCTCCCAGGGCTCAAGCTGCCCAGCACGCTCATGTTCGACTACCCAAGCGTCTCGGCGATCGCACAGTACGCTGCGAGCAAGCTCGCCCCCGCCTCTGTGTCGCCAGCAGCGGCGGCGCTCGCGGGCACTGCGGGCGCCACGGTCCTTACCTCGGAGGGCGTGCCCGTTTCGGTGTTGTCCAGGGGCTGCAGGTTTCCGGGCGACGCGAACTCGCCAGGCGAGTTCTGGTCGGCGCTCGTGGCGAAGGGCGACGGTGTCGTGCCCATCCCCTACGAACGCTGGGACACCGACGAGTATTACGACCCCTCCCCGGGCACCACAGGCAAGATGTACGTGAAGCACGCGGGCTTCATCAAGGGAGTCGAGAACTTTGACACCGCCCTCTTCAGCATCTCCCCGGCAGAGGCGGCCACAATGGACCCACAGCAGCGGTTGCTGCTCGAAGTAACGCACGAGTCGTTCGAGAGGGCGAAGGGCAACGAAAAGATGTCCATGGACGTCGGCATCTTCGTTGGAGAGTGCAACAACGATTGGGGCCACTTCAAGAACCTGGAGACCGACAAGATGAACCCGTTCAGCGGCACAGGAGGCTCCGTCTCCATCTCGGCCAATCGCATCTCTTACGTCTTCGGATTCAAAGGCCCCAGCGTCGCTTCGGACACGGCGTGCTCCTCGTCGCTGGTGGCGCTCGACCAGGCTGTGTCAGGCTTGTGGCGCGTGCGTTGCAGCAGCGCCGTTGCGGCTGGCGTGAACTTGGCCCTCTTGCCGGGCCCGTTCATCGCGTGCTGCCAGGCGCGGATGCTCTCGGAGGAGGGTCGTTGTAAGACGTTCGACCAGTCGGCCAACGGCTATTCGCGCGCCGAGGGCTGCGGCGCTGTCGTCGTCCGGCGCCAGCCGGAGACCACGCTGCAGACGGTTCTGCCGGCGGTCAGCGGCACTGGCGTCAACCAGGACGGCAAAAGCTCGAGCCTGACAGCGCCGAACGGTCCCGCGCAGCAGGAGGTCATCCTCATGGCCTGGAAGGACTCCCCAGTCGTCCCCTCGGGGGCCGACTACGTGGAGACTCACGGGACCGGCACCGAGCTGGGCGACCCCATTGAGGTGGGGGCCCTCAGCGCTGTCATGGGGCCCGGGCGTAGCTCAGAGATCCTCGTCGGCGCGGTCAAGTCGAACGTTGCCCACTTGGAGGGCGCAGCTGGCATCGCTGGCCTCGTGAAGAGCATCTCCGTGCTCAGTCTCGGCAAGGTGCCACCGAACATCCATTTGCACAGCCTCAACCCGCACATCGACGTCTCCGACTTCAGGGTCACATTCCCCGCCGACGGTGTCGTGGACAAGGAGGTCAAGAGCGCTGGCCTGTCGTCGTTCGGCTTCGGTGGCACCAACACCCACGTCTCCATGGCTGCAGCGGCTGGGGAGGCTCAGGTCGACCCCAAGGAGACGGAGCCCGCTGTTTTCAATCGGCAGCGCTTCGCATGGTATCAAGTCAAGCACCCGCTGTCGGTCGCTGGGCGCCCAGGGGACCAGCCTGGACTGACGTGTTTCCACGCGCCGATCCAGAACAAGTTGGTGGAGCTGCTGTCGCACCACATCATCTACGGAGAGATCGTGGTACCAGGAGCAACCTACATGGAAATGACCATCGCCACCGCTGCTTACCGCTACGGACGCGATGGCGGCAAATTCTGGCTCGAGGGCATCGGCTTCCAGAGCCCATTAGTCCTGCGGGAGGTAGACGGCGAGCTGACCGAGCCCAAGGACTTGATGCTCCATGTGCGCGACGACGGGCGCTTCTCGATGAACAGCGGCTACGGTGGCGAGATCATGGCCACACACTGCGAGGGCTCCTTGCACCTGCACGGTGGGCTGGCCGAGCATAACACGATGAATGTGGCAGAGATCAAGGCCCGCTGCCCGGAGGTCGTCGAGGACTCCCGCATGTATGTGCCGTTCGCGAACATCGGCCTGCCTCTGCAGCCGCGCTTCCGCACTGTACGCACGATCGACCGCAGCGGGGACGAGATCATCGCCTGGGTGGCCGCTTACGAGGACGGTACGAATCAAGGCATGCTGTTCGGCCCCGCCGTCATAGACGGCTCGTTCCAGGCCAGCTGCGCATTCCAGAATCTGGAGGCGTTGCCGAGCCTGAGAATCCCGTTGTCCATCGACCGCCTGACCATCTACGGCCAGGGCTACAGCCAGAAGGTGTGGGTGCACCACACGCTACTCGAGAACTCCGACAAGCAGCTGGAGTCCAACGTGGTACTCGCCAAAGACGACGAGGTGATCATCATGACCATGGACCGCATGCGCCTGCGCGAGGTGCGCCCCGAGCACATCGCGAAGATGCTCGCGGCGTCGGCTGGAGACGCGGACGAAGACATCCTGGAGGTCGAGTGGTCCACCATGGACGTGAAGAGCTCGAGCGCCGCAAAAGACCTCGGCAAGGTGATGTTCGTGGGCGCCGATGCGGACCTGCAGCAGGCGCTCGCGGCCAAGTTCCCGCAGTCTGCCTTCTCGGACTCGCCAGACTTCGAGAAGGACAAGTGCGCGATGGCCGTGTACGTCGGAGCGCTCGGCGCGGAGTCGGAAATGCAGACCCTGGACGACGCAATGGGTCTCGCGCAGCAGGCCATCGCCAAGAAGAAACCGGGGACGATGTGGTGGATCACCTGCGGCACGCAGACCGCGCCGCTCGGCGGCTACATGCACGCAGGCCTGTGGGGGATGGCGCGTACCTTCCGCATGGAGGAGCGCTCTGTGGTCCTCCGCTGCTTGGACCTGGACGGCAGCGCGCACTGCGGCGCAGAGGTCGTGGCAGAGGCGTTGCACAGCTGGCTGGGCAGGCTGGGCGGTTCTGGGGACGTGGCCTCGGAGAGCGAGGTGGCAGTACGCCTGCAGGACGGAAAAGAGCTGGCGTTCGTGTCCAGGCTCACGCGCAGCGCGACGGTGCTCACGAAGCCCGGCATGCTGGCGATGTCCGCCCGGGGAAGCTTGTCGAATTTGAGGCCGGTGGTCCAGGACAGTCGCGACAAGCCGGCCGCCCACGAGGCCGAGGTGCGCATCCGCGCGGTCGGCCTCAACTTCCGCGACGTCCTCAACGTCATGGGCCTGTACCCAGGAGACCCAGGGCCGCCAGGCGCCGACTGCGCGGGCACAGTGCTGACGGTAGGCGCGGACGTGAAGCACATCGTTCCCGGCGACGACGTGTTCGGCGAGAGCCCGGGGTGCCTCAAGACCTACAATTGCAGCAAGGCGTCGCTGCTCACGCAGAAGTCGCCACAGTGGACTTTCGAGGAGTCGTGCTGCATGCCAGTCATCTTCGGCACCGTGGAGGAGGCGCTGGGGGACTTGGCGCGGCTCGGCAAGGGCGACTGCGTTCTCATCCACGCCGCCGCTGGCGGCGTGGGCCTCGTTGCGATCCAGTACGCCCAGTACGTGGGCGCCAAGATCATTGCCACCGCAGGTGCCAAGGAGAAGCACGACTACCTCCACAGCCTCGGCGTCAAGTACACCACCAGCAGCCGGGACGGCTCGAAGTTTGAGGAAGACAGCAAGCAGTTCTTGAAGGAGATGAAGATTGAGGGCATCGACGTCGTCCTCAATAGCCTCAGCCACGACGACTACATCCCCCGGTCCCTGGCACTGCTCAAGAAGGGCGGCCGCTTCATGGAGATCGGCAAGCGAGGAATCTGGAGCCACGCGAAGATGTTCGGGGAGCGACCCGACGTGATCTATGAGAAGATCGTGACCGACACTATGATGGACCTCTCCGAGTGGGAGTACAACGGATACCTGAAGCGCTTGCTCGGGCGCGTGGAGGCGGGTGGACTGAAGCCGATCAACATGCATGTGTTCGAGGGCATGGAGAGCGGTGTGAAGGCGGCGCAGTTCCTGCAGCGCGCCCAGAACATCGGCAAGGTGGTCATCAGCACCCCGAGCACCATGGGGCTGATGCCGTCCACAGAGTACATCCTAAGCGGCGGCATGGGTGCTCTCGGAATGGTCACTGCACAGTATATGATCGAGGAGGGCGGCAAGGTCCTGAGCCTCTTGTCCAGGAGCGGAAGGCCAGCCGCGGACGTGGCGGATATCTGGGAGCGCCTGCAGTCGACCAGCGCCACGGTGCTGTCGAGGGCGTGCGACATCTCGAGCATGGACGCCGTTCGGGAGCTAGCCGCGGCCATGGCCGCCGACGGGGCCAAGCGGTCGCCGGCAACTGCAGCTGGCGGTGTTGTGCACCTGGCCGCTGTGCTCGACGACGCCACGCTGCCGAAGCTGACGCGCGCCCACCTGGAGAAGTCGTATGGCGCCAAGGTCTGGGGCGCGAGGCATATGCACTGCGAGCTGGCCCCCGCGTCGGGACCGCTGCAGTTCATGCTGATGTTCTCCTCCACTTCTGCACTTCTCGGGTCTCCAGGCCAGGCGAACTACTCGGCATCGAATTCCGCGCTTGACGCGCACGCCAGGTACTGGAAGCAGGAGGGCGAGAACACGTGGAGCGTGCAGTGGGGCCCCTGGAAGGAAGTGGGCATGGCCACGCAGGGCAGCACCATCGACCGCCTCCAGAAGTCGGGCGTCTACGGACTCACTAACGCGAACGGCATGGCCGCGCTGGCCTGTGCGCTGAAGGCTTCCAACGCCACCATCGTTGCGCAGCCCATGCGTTGGTCTTTGTACCTGAAGCCATATGCGAGCTCGAAGGTCCCAGCCTTCCTGTCTCGCTTTGGGGCCGAGCTGAAGGTCGAGAAGAAGAAGCCAGCCGCGTCAGCGATGGCCGCGGCGCCAAGATTTGCCCAGGCGGCGGCCGCCCCGGCCGTCAGCGAGCAGAGCCTGCGCGTCATGCTGCAGAAGATCGCGTCGGAGGTGGCGGGCCAGAGCCAGATCGAGGAGGACACCCCGCTGATGGAGTCTGGCATGGACTCGCTTTCTGCGGTGGAGTTCCGCAACCGTTTCTCCAGCGAGATGCCCCAGGTGCAGTTGCCCAACACTCTCATATTCGACTACCCGAGCGTCAAAGCCATCGCTCAGTTTGCCTCCAGCCAGATCGCCCCAGCAGGTGCGCAGGCCGTCGGCGCTGGCTTCGCAGCTGCGCCAGTGGCGACAGGACCCAGCCCCGAAGAGGTGAACCAGTTGATGCGTCGGATCGCTGGGGAGACGACGGGCAGCACAGTCGAGGACGACGTGCCACTCATGGAGTCGGGCATGGACTCGCTGTCCGCGGTCGAGTTCCGTAACAGGCTGTCCGGTGAGCTGCCCGACCTGCAGTTGCCCAACACGCTCATCTTCGACTACCCGACGCTGCGCTCTGTCGCTGACTACGCCGTGTCCCAGATCGCCACGGTCGCTCCCAGTGGCGCCGTGGCTCAGGGCGGCGCACCGCGCACGGAGGGGGCCTTCAACGAGGCGCTGGCGCTTACAGGCAGCAGGTATAACAACTTTCGTAAGTGCTCCTGTGCAGTAGGCGAACCTTAACAAGAAAGTGGCTTGCCAACAAGCAACAGGCGCCCCCCGATCGAATTATTGTCTTCGAACGCGCCCGTAAACACTCGGGGCAAGGCTTCTTCTAGCAAGATTCCCTGAACAGCTCGTCTGCAAGGTTCCTGTTAAATTGTAGAAGGTCCCGTGCGAGCGAATCCTGATCTGGACTTGGTGGCCCTTGGCCCGTGGTTTTCCCATCTGGTATCCTGCATGGTCTCCTGAAAATGCATGTGTGTAAGGGTCTCCCGTAGGATATCCTGCACGGTCTCCCGTAGATGTGCTCTTCCGCATTGTCTCCCGAAGATGTGGCATCCTTTGTCATATCCGTGCGGTATATAGTTTCTAATCGCGTATGTTTTTTTCCGTTTTCCCTCCCATATATACAGCACATTAGAATGATGTGTGATGTATTGTTGATGTACAGCTCTAGCTAGATGCAAATCTGCCCATCTGGCTGTAACCCGCGTTCAGTCCTCACAGGAGCAGGGTTCTCAGGTCTTGCCCACAGCAGGAAATAAAATCACCGCCTTGAGTAAGAAGGGAGGAAGTCTCGAGCGGGAGCCGTGGTTTTGTCGGGATGGGGGCTGTCGGCGGCGAGGAAAAGCACCGCCTTGAGTAGAAAAGGGAGGAACGCTCGAGCGAGAGCGTTGTTGTTGCTGGGGGCGGCGCCGATGAGAGAAAAGATAACGCGCCAGTCCAAGGTAAAAACGTGAGGAAGTCTCGAGCGGTAGCGCTGGTTTTATTGGGACGCCGGCTTTCGGCGGCGAGCAAGAGCACGGGCCCTGAGTACAAAAGGAGGAAGTCTCGAGCGGGAGCGTTGTTGTTGTTGTTGCTGCTGTTGTTGTTGTGGTTGTTGTTGTTGTTGTTGTTGTTGTCGTTGTCGTTGTCGTTGTCGTTGTCGTTGTCGTTGTCGTTGTCGTTTTCGTTGTTGTTGTTGAACATTATTTCTTCTAAAGACTAATTATTGTTGGGACCCCTGGTGCACGGCCCCCTCGCCGCGCCTAGGCCGCAGCCATGTTTTCATCATTTTCGTGAGGAAGTCTCCGGCAAAACGGGTTGGTCCGGATCCGGTTGTTTTGTTACGGGCGGTTTTCCCTTGCAAAAAATAAGGCAAAGTGGACATTTCTTGTTCTAACATAACCAAACTTCAAGAATCCCTTGCAAAAAATAGGTAAAGTGGACATTCGCGCGCGCAAGACGAAATCCTTCCAAAACCTTAGTGTTCGTAGCGATTTTAACATAAAAACATCAAAAAAACAATGGTTTTTCAAAAAAAATGTCAACATTTCATCCCGCGCGCTCTTGCGGATTTGTAGGAAACCCAACACTTTTTAAACATTTCTGTCAAACGGGCTTTTGCGAGCAACTTTTTCACGTGCTTCGAACTTCTCCAACAACGGTTGCGCACCTGCCAGGGCCATCATCCCTGTCAAATAATACCATGCGGGACACATTCGTTTTTTCTTCGCGCGCGCACGCCTGGACACCAAAAACCAGTACAGGTGTCCAGTGTTGGAACAGGGGGAAAAGTCGTATACTAAGCTAGCGTCCAGAAAATGTTACCACAACAAGTCACTGTACCCATGCGCCAGTGTAGTAGCCACGGTCGTCCGCAGGCCACGAAGTGAAGTGTCCGAACGTCATAGGGCGGGAAGCTGGGTGTGGGTGGTGGCGAAGAGTCGTTTGGAAATGTGGTAGAGCTTGAACCGGCCCCCCCACAAAGTGGGGGTATTGGCGGGCGTCGTATGAAAACCCTGGCACTGGTGAGAACGGAGTGTCCCCACGTGCTAGTAATTGTTGTTGTTGTTGTTGTTGTTGGGGGGGCAGTTTTGGTGCAACCCCAAACCGCTTGAGCATTTTCAGTGAAAATGTAGCCGGCGCCTCGGCGAGAGCGCCAAAGCGCCTGGAGGGGGTCCAACGAAATATTTGTTTCGTAATTAACATGCTACTGCAACAACACAACAACAACATTAACAACAACAGCGACAACAACAACAATCATCAGTTCACCCTCACGCGCGAGATTTACACACGAAGCATGTGACCATCATGATAACTCATTGGTCCGAAAGATACCCGTACCCGGGGCCAGCCAAGGTGAGATGGGCCGTCCGGGGGACTGGGCGCTTGCTACTGTGCCCAGTCAGCTCGCCCCGCGCGCGCCAGTGCAGCATCCGCGCGTCAAGACGCAACGGCGCGCTCGATGGTTGGGTGTCTGATTGCAGCGAGAAGCGCTGGTTTTTGTTAGGGACGTCTCGGGGCATCGTGGTGCGTGCGCGGCTCAAAGCCGCCCATATGTGGTGGCGCCTGCCCCAATCGATAAAGAGTTGCATACCCTCGCTATCCTGGCAACCAATGCGTTTGGGCCTGCCCTGAGGAACGACGTTAGAATGTCGCGCCCCCAGGGGGCCGCAGCGGCCACGTCGGGGACGGCTCTGGAGGGCATGATATGTGCTCGAGAGCGTTTTGGGCCTGCCGCCGCCTCGGCTAGGTACGGGGACCTGCCTGAAACCACCGAAACATACCTGGACCTAGCTGGGGTGGAGCTGCGGCACCCCGGCTGGGTACGGGTTTGTTTTTTTGGTTTTCATGGGGCAACCGTACCTAGCTGGGGTGATCCGCGGACGGCCGTCCAAGGGGGGCGGCCTTTGGCGACCTCGCCCAGGGCACAGATTCGCGAAGCCTCTGCATCGAGCAATTCGCGATAGGGCGGTTGTCGCGCAATGACGTTCGCGCCAGAGTTGTTCGCATGCGCCCCCGAGTGCGCGTTGACTCCTCAACGCCCGGATGTGTGTCTGGGGGCGCGCCTCCGCAGTAGCTGGTCTACATCGACAGCAACCAACGCAGTGTGGGGCACTCCGCCGATTCGAACGCACGTGCGATCGGTTCTAACGTGCGCCCCGAGAAGACAGCGGTCTGTAATGCTCGATCGGCTGTCGTTTCTACAATTGTGCAGCCGCCGTCAGCTGCGACGAACCGCCCCCCCGGCCCCTTGCCACCCTGTCTAGGTAAGGGTACGGGTATCTTTCGCGCACGAGAATAACCATCCACATCACGGGGGACTCTTGTTCAATAGCGGGATCCGTTATTCCGGTTCCCAGATCTCCCGTTCAATGAGGTCTTGCAAACACCTTCCCCGAGGAATTTCAACATATCCCGCCTCGAAAACACGTGCCCGCGCCTTGCTGCGCCGATGCGAGACCGCCAGTGGAACCCCAGCGAGGGGTAAAGCACAAGGAAGTATCGAACGACAGGAATGCCTTGGAAGAGATGGGGGCTGTCGGCGGTGAGGCAAGGACCTGTCCTGAATAGAAAGGGAGGAAGTCTCGAGCAGGGCTGCTGATGTTGCTGGGAGCGGCGCCAATGCTGAAGAGAGTAGGGCGCGAGTCCAGCGTAAAACAAAACGAAGTCTCGAACGGGAACGCTGGTTTTGTTGGGACGGCGGCATTCGGCGGCGAGGAGGAACACCGCCTTGAGTAAGAAAGGAGGAAGCATCGAGCGGGAGCCGTGGTTTTGTCGGGACGGGGGCTGTCGGCGGCGAGGAACAGCACCGTCCCGATGAAAAAGAGAGAAAATCTCGAGCGGGAACTTTGTTCTTGCTGGGGGCGGCGCCAATTCAAAAGAGACTAGGGCGCCAGTCCAGCGTAAAACGGGAGGAAGTCTCGGGCGGGAACGCTGGTTTTGTCGGGGCAGCGGCTTTCAGCGGCGAGGAGGAACACCGCCTTGAGCAAGAAGGGAGGAAGCATCCAGCAAGAGCTCTGGTTTTGTCGGGACGGGGGCTGTCGGCGGCGAAGAACAGCACCGTCTTCAGGAAAAAGGGAGGCAGCCTCGAGCGGGAGCGTTGTTCTTGCTGGGAGCGGCGCCAACTAAAAAGAAAGTAGGGCGACAGTCCAGCGTAAAACGGAAAGACTCGGGTGGGAACGCTGGTTCTGTCGGGGCGGCGGCTTTCGGCGGCGAGGAACAGCACCGCCTTGAGTAACAAAGAAGGACATCGAGCGGGACCGTTGTTTTTGCTGGGGGTGGCGCCGACGAGATAAAAACGAGCGCGCCTGTCCAAGGTAAAACGGGGGGAAATCTCGAGCGGGAACGCGGGTTTTGTTAGGACGGCGGCTTTCGGCGGCGAGCAAGAACACCAGCCTTCAGTATAAAAAAGAGGAAGTCTCGAGCGGGAGCGTTGTTGCTGTTGGGTTCCGGCGGCCCCCCAACCTGCTCGAGCGTGCGCATTTTTTTCAATGCACATGTAGCCGGCGCCTCGGCGAGAGCGCCAAGGCGCCTTTAAGGGGTCCAACAATCATAACTGCTTAGTAATTAACATTCAGCAACCGGAACAACAACCAATTCAACACTTTTCACCCCTATCTGCTCACGTGCCAATCCATACGTATATCCCAAACCCTCGGTACCCGCCCTCGTCGTCTTCGATCGTACCCCTTTCGGGGTATATCTTCCTTACCTGCCAAGTGTAGCTAATGCAGCCCATTCAACAAGGGAAGGGGAGACGGATGAAAGGGGGAGCGAGGAGAATGGAGCACGAAACAAATTAGCAGGAGGGGGGCAAGGAGGCGGAACGGGTGAGCAGACCCATAGCGGGCAGGTCGGGAAGGCGGGCCCAAGCGACGAGGTCGAGCAGGCGGGTTGCTGAGGCGTGGGTCCTGCATGAATCGCGAGGAAGTCTCGAGCGATAGCGCGATTCCCAAGTAAATCGTGAGAAACGCCAGCGTGGGCCACGAAGGACATAAAATCCGAGGCCACAGAGGGCAGCGACGGGGCTGCTGAGGGCAGCACCAGGGCCACGAAGGGCAGCGAGGGGGCCACAAAGGGCGACAGCGGGGCCACGAAGGGCATGCGTATGGGGCCACGGCGGGAGCGAGCGGGGGCCACGAAGGGCATTCGCATACGGGGCCACAAAGGGCGACAGCGGGGCCACTGAGGGCAGCAAAG